ACATTATCTTATTATAAAAATGCTCTCAATGCAATCTACATATAATAAACATGTAACCAGGTTTCCCCAATGTGTAAAATCGTATCAGGTGGAACAGAATTAAAGTGAAAAGCCAAGTCTTTGGAAATATCAGACATCAAATAACAGTCCTTATGGCCTTAAGAATTTACTTAATTTTTTTTAGAATCTATTTCTTTACTTATGAAATGGAAACATAATTCCTACCTCACAAACACATTCTAAGAAGGAGACAAAGTACATCATCTGTCATTTTTAACAGGTAGTGGTTGTGATTTACATAGCACGTTGTGATCTGTCCTTGTATGTTCTGTTCCATTCTGTATTCTTGACCTGGTCATAGTCTTTCTGAGCTCCAGATCCATATACCTAAGTACTTCCTTTTGCATTTTACAAAAGTACATAAAACAGACTGTATCCAAGATTGAATTTCTGATCTTATCACACCATTAAACTCACAAATGTGGCCCTATTCTTGTGTTCACAATCTCAGTGACTGATATCACCATCATGACCCAAGCCTGAGAGTAGAAATGGCATTGTCACTTCCCTCCCTACTGCAACAAAGCCCAGCTATTTGTCTCCCATTTACTCTACTCTAAAATACATTTATTCACTAAGTGAGAGTAATCTTTTAAAGACACAAATCAATCCATGCCACCATCTTTCTTGAATTATTCAGTCTTTCCTTGGCTTCCAGGTTACAGAAACATAATTTGTAACAAAGTTGAAAAGTCACACATGACTTCTCTCTACCCTATATGATAACATCCCTCCTTGTGATCAAAACCTCAGTCACACTGTCCATCTTTCTATACATAAATAAAATCATATAGTTTGAACTCTCCTCTCGTCACCTTTAATCAATCAAATGCTATAAGATGCATTCGTGTTGCTACATGTTAAGCAGTAGTTGATTATTTTCATTTCTGTGTAATATTTTATACTTTATACCATAATTTATCAATTCTACTGTTGATAAACATTTAAATTGCTATCAGTTTGAGGTTTTTATGAATATTGCTGTCATAAGCATTTCTATACATGTCTTTGGATACACATATGCGTGTGTTTCTGAATGTCTACAAATGTAATTACATGGTAATAGATTTATCATGTATCCAGCTTTGGTAGATACTATTAAATGTTTTCCAAAGGGGTTATACTATTGTACACTTTCACCAACAGAGTTTGAGAGTTTCTGTTTATCGATATTATTAACAAAAATTTGAACCATCAGTCTTATCTCTTCTCTTTTCTCTTTTTTTCTCTTTTTTCCCTTCGCTTCCCTTCCCTTCCCTTGTTTCTCTTCCCTTCCCTACTCTTTCCTCTTCCTTTCTCTCCTCTTCTTTCCTCTCTTCCTTCCCTTTCTCCTTTCTTTCCTTATCCCCTCCCCTCCCCTTCCCTCTCTTCTCCTCTCCTCTCCTCTCCTCTCTCCTTTTTTCTTCTCTCCATTATGTATTTTTCCTTCTTCTCCTTCACCCATTCCACCCTCTCTCTCCCCCTCTTCCTTCCTTCCTTTCTTTATTTCTTCTTCCTCCTCTCTTTCCCTCAATACTTCCTTTTGGATATGCTCATGGGTGTGTATTCGTCTGCCATTGTGGCATTATTTGAATTCAGAAAAGAGCGAAAAACTATTGGGATCTTCATTCCTGGGCCTTATTTCACATTTTTTTTTTTAAGAACACAATTGAAAAATCTTCTGTACAAGCATTTTCCAGAAACTTCATTAAATTTAATCTGGCTGAATATGGTAAATCTACTTTGTACTTTCTCTGCATTCTTTCTTTAGTCACACCATAGTTTTAAACAATCATAATATTTATATGTAATATTTGATTTTATATGTCATTAAAATATTACCCTTAAAATTCATGTTTTCAGGACCTATTTCAGTAACTGGCAAATAAACCATATTCATTTTTAAAATATTCTTGTAATGGATATCTATTTGAGTATAGTAAAAAAAAAATGAGTTTTTTATAGGAAGAATTTACCAAAAGAAGGAAGTAAGCAGGTTTAAGCTGAAACAATAGATTTGTCCATTCCAACCTCTTAAAATTCCCTTGGAGACAAAAATCCCTACAGATAAAGAGGAACTTTATATAGAGTTAACTTGCTAAAACATCTGCTTCTAGTTTTCTTCATGTTTTCTTAGTATAAAGTGACAGAAACAAAAAGTTAAACTCTAAGATACATTCCACTATATCAGACTAAAACATTTCTGCATAATTGAAACTGGGAGCATATTTTTAGAAATAACCGCTGAAAGAGGTGTGGTTGGGAGATATGTAGAGGAGAACAGTGTTTCTGAGTCAAGACACACATGACAGAACAGCCAATCTCAGGGCCAGTTGAAGGAAACAGTGAAATGAAGGTGCATTTTGCATTCTCACAAACCAATGAAACTCTGCTTATCTTAAACCAACCTGCTCACAGGATCAGGGAAAAAAGGACCAGCATAAAAGGCAGGGCAGGGCTAACTGTTGCTTTCACTTGCTTCTGACATAACCGAGTTCAATTAGCAACCTCTATCAGACACCATGGTGCATCTGACTGGTGAGGAGAAAGCTGCCGTTGCCTCCCTGTGGGGCAAGGTGAACGTGGACGAAGTTGGTGGTGAGGCCCTGGGAAGGTTTGTGTCAAGGTTACAAGGCAGGTTCAAGGTGGTGAATGGAAGGAAGCTGGGCATGTGGAGACAGAGAAGATTCTTGAGGTTCTGAAAGTCACCAACTCTCTCTGTCTCTTGGGCTGTTTTCCTACCCTTAGGCTGCTGGTGGTTTACCCTTGGACCCAGAGGTTCTTTGACTCCTTTGGGGATCTGTCTTCTGCTGCTGCTGTTATGGGCAACTCTAAGGTGAAGGCTCATGGCAAGAAGGTGCTAGGTGCCTTTAGTGATGGCCTGGCTCACCTGGACAACCTCAAGGGCACCTTTGCCCAGCTGAGTGAGCTGCACTGTGACAAGCTGCACGTGGATCCTGAGAACTTCAGGGTGAGTCCAGGAGATGCTCCACTTTTCTCCTTTTACTTTCTAATCTTACATTTTGGTTCTTTTACACATTTTTATCTGTTTCACTATATTTTATCCTTTAATGCTTCTAAATTTTTGTTAATTTTTTATTTCAATTTTCTGCTTTTTTCCTTTCTCAGAATCTTGCTATTTTAAAAATTAACTCACTTAATATCGTGTCTTTCTCTCCCAACCCACTCTCTTCATTTTTCTCTTCTCTAACCATAACTCACATTATGCATACCAGCTCTCAGCTGCAAATTCCACACTTGGAAAAATCCTTTTGTTTTTCCATGTGGGGATGGGAGAAGCTCCAACTCAAAAAGGAGAGGCATAGAATGCTGCTTTAGAGGCTATAAATGATTTACAATGAGGAATAATTGAAACTTTATAAATTAGGTAGTAAATGGGATGGAAAGGAAAGGGAATATTTGATTATGAAATATTAGAACATTACGCTGGAGGTGGGGCAGACGTCATTACTAGGAGACAGCCCATCATCACATTGATTAATTAATTAATTTGTATCTATTAATCTGTTTATAATAATTAATTTGTATATGCTATATACAAATACAAAATTAAAACTAATTTGAAATTAATTTGTGTATAGCATTATACAGCACATATAGCACATATGTACATATGTAGACTATATACTAGTTAAGTACATAGACGGGGCTGTGTGTGTGTGTATATATATTATATGTATGCATTCATATATATACTTATTTATGCTGATGGGAATAACCTGAGGATAAGTTTTGTCTAAGATTTGGACAGAAAAAAATGGATGTTGGCCCAGTTTCTCAGAAGCCAATCTACTTCCCTGTTAACCATATGCATGTATCTGCCTACCTCTTCTCACAGCTCCTGGGCAATGTGCTGGTGTGTGTACTGGCCCGCAACTTTGGCAAGGAATTCACCCCACAGGTTCAGGCTGCCTTTCAGAAAGTGGTGGCTGGTGTGGCCACTGCTCTGGCTCACAAGTACCATTGAGATCCTGGACTGTTTCCTGATAACCACGAGAAGACCCTATTTCTCTAGATTCTATTTTCTGAACTTGGGAACACAATGTTTACTTCAAGGGTATGGCTTCTGCCTAATAAAGAACTTTCAGCTGATTAATTTCCCCTGTTTCATTTTATTGTCCAGGTATATAAGAAGGTTCCTGAGAGTCTACAGATAGGGAGCACTTGTGTCCTTTACAAAAAGGATGTGGGACATTAGAAAAGCAAGGGAATTGTACAAAGCATTAATGGATGACACGTCTATCTCCAAAAAAAAAAAACAAAAAACAGAAATTATCAAGAATTCTTGATATAGAGATGACACTGGTACTGTAGAGGCTCTAGGGAAGACCTCAACCCTCAGACATAGCCTCAAGGCTAATGCTCTGATTAAACTCCATCAATTCCTGAGAAAATAATGTCCTCAATTAAAGGCACGATGATTTCTCAAGACAATGTTATGTTCTCTTTCTTCCTACTTCCTTTGCCTGCACATTGTAGCCTATAATACTATAGTCCATTAAGTGTTCCTGCTCTAAGAAATAGTTTCCTTTTCTTACTGGCCCCAGAACATCTCTGTAAAGAATTTCATCTTATCCTCCCATATTTCAGGCAAGATTCATTGCTGACATATTACTTGTGAACTCTCTTGACCCCAGCCTCAATAAACTTTTTGATACTACACAAAAAAGCCTTTCCAAACCCATTCCCTACACCCATTTTCTATATTTTTCTTATACGTGAACACACACACATACACACACACACACACACACACACACACACACTCACTCCATGCTTTATGAACATTTCTGCCTGTTCTGTACCTTCTTACATGCCTACTGTGCCTCATATTAAATTCTTCAATGGGCAGCAAGTAAATATTCAAGAAAATAACAAATGAAGGAATGAATAAATGAAGGAATGATTATTCCTTGCTTTAGAACTTCAGGAACTAGAGGATAATATGAATAATACCATTGAACAGTGTCCCTTTGGTGTTAATGCTACAATATATGAAGAGAAAGCATGTGGTAAACAACCAAGCAGTAGTTTTCTTCTGATTATAGGTAGTAATTTTTTTCTTTGAGCACCATTTTTTGCTATAGGTAAAATTAGAAGGGCTTTTAGAACTTTCTCACTTGTATACATTTAAAAAAATCAGTATTACATACCTGTTGATTAATTTTAAACCTACTTGAATACCTATACAGAATCTGTTGCTTCCTTGTGTTGAAAAGCGCTTTCATGGTAACTCTGTCTGTACTGCCAGAATATGTTGACAATGCATAGTTAACTGTTTTCATCACATTATTTTGAATTGACGGGCAGCAGAAGCTCTTTTATATCCACGTTTTCCTTGAGTCATTATATGCAGTAGGCACTGAGAGCTCTTTGTATCTGAATAGGATATTTAGGAACCACTGGTTTACATATCAGAAGCAGAGCTACTCAGGGCATTTTGGGGAAGATATTAAAGAACAAATTATAGACAAATATAAATTTCTCTTTAATAATTACATGTGTACTTTAGCAAAGTTGTGTCTATGTCAACTTTATTGATTTTTGGTAAGAAATACAATTTTTTAAAGCAAACTAAACTATCCTATGTCAAAACTATTTTGTGTGTATGTGGTTTGTTTCTATGGGTTCTGGTTTTCTTGGAGCATTTTAATTTCATTTTAATTAACTAATTCTGAGAAGATACTAAGTTATGGTTACTGAGAGATTGTGAATCTGGGAGAGAAGTCTGTAGCAAGTGGCTAGACTGTGCTTGACCTAGGAACATATACACTAGATTGCTTAAATGTCTCACTTGGGGAATTTTAGGTTAAACAGTAGAGCATATATAAAAATACTCTAGTCAAGTCCTGTTTTTGAAACAAATGATAAAACCACACTCCCATAGATGAGTGTCATGATTTTCATGCAGAAAGTTAATATTCATTCTCTTAAGTATATTCAGACTAGTGCCATTCTAGTATAAAACATTAGACTTAAGGAAGATTAACAGACTGGAGTAAAGGAAATGAACCTCTGTCTCTCGCGCTGTCTCTTTTTTGAGGACGTGTGTGTGTGTGCCTGTGTGTGTGTGTGTATGTGTGTGTGTGTCTGGTGGTCAGTGGGGCTGGAATAAAAACAGAATAGACCTGCATATGCTGTGGGACCCATTCACAGAGTAGAAGCAAGCTCACAACTGTGAAGATGTCAGTGAGCTTGAGTAGTTTTTCAGGACCTTTGAATGCTGGTTTAGATTTGAGCCTGAGGCCCTGAACATAAACACATTTGCACTATTGGTCACTTCTTAAAACTTATTTTTGCTTGGTATGCCTGGGCTTTTGATGGTCTTAGTATAACTTACAGCCTTGTCCCTGTGGGGTTATGGGTAATAGAAAAGTCTGTGTCACACTCTAGTTACACTAAGTAGCAACCGTTAGAAAACCAATGCCTGCCTTGAAGCCAGGATGATGGTACCTGCAACAGTTGCCAACACAAGAGAAGGATCCATAGTTCATCATTAAGAAAAGAAAACAAGTTAGGAAAACTGTTTCTGAGCATAAAAAGTTGTAGGGTAAGTCTCTAAGAAGGTAACAATTTCTGCCAATCAAGATTTCAAAGCTGTTGACTTCACAGTTTTGCTCTTTCAGAATAATATAAATATATCTTATATTATAATTTTATAAGGTCTGTGGATTTTCTTTGACATGGGATACTTGCAAAAGACATATTTAGACTTCCCTAGAACACTCAATTTCACATATACATGGCTCTTCTATCAGGGATGTGAAATAGGGCCTTGAAAATAGTCTGAATCTAAAACAATGCTAATGCAGGTTTAAATTTAATAAAATAAAATCCAAAATCTAAAACTCAAGTCAAATCTATATGTTTTAACATTTAAAACATTTTAAAGACCTCTTTTCCTAGAATGCAACATGTGAAATATTTTCTCAGGGATACACATATTCTCAGATCTTCATTGCTTTAGTTTTTTACAGAAGAATGAATATAAAAGAAAACACTTAAAACTTCATCTCGCTTACCCCTATAATCATATATAGGCATAATTTTTTAACATAGGCCCCAGATAGCCATAGAAGAGCCAAACCTTTTCTGCATGTGTGAGAATAATCAGAGTGAAATTTGTTCACAAGTACCTGATGCGGGTTGAGACAGGTAGAAAAAGTGAGAAATCTTTATTTATTTAGCAATAACGGTGAAAGTATTTAAGAGAATAGAACAATGGAAATAATAAATTTATAAATTTTCTTGCAATAGCTAGAAATAGAAAATCCAGTTTCTTTTGGTTAGCCTAAATTTTATTTTTATTTTATTTTTTGTAGTTTCAGTGTTAGAGCTGAAAGGAAGAAGTAGGAGAAACATGGAAAGTAAAAATATAACACTTTTCTTACTAAAAGGACATGGGCTTCCAGGTAGGTGCAGAATTTGGAATGACTGACAAGGCCTTAAGGGAACACTGAGACCCTACACTGACCTCAGATATGCTTGCCACCCTTGCTGTTTTCATGACATCTTTTAACAGCACGAAGCAGAACTCTACACTTCAAAAGCTTTTCCTCACCTGAGGAGTTAATTTAGTACAAGAGGGAAGAAAGGGCAGGGGGATGGGAGAAAGGAGTTAATGTTGAAAAGCTATAGAGATAAAACAGTACATTTTAGTAGAGGAGGTTTAAACAAACAAAATACAGAGAGAAATAAAAACTTGGATAAAGGAAATGATTTTAAAACACAGTATTCTTAGTGGACTAGGGGGAAAAAAAAAACCTGAGCCAAGTCTGGAAGACCTTTTCCTTTCCTGCCCCTACTTTTTAAGTCATAGAATCTTCTCTGTTTCCCTAGAAACTTTTTCAGAGGAGTCCAGGCAGAAACAGTTAGATGTCCCCAGTTAACCTCCCAGTTGACACCACTGATTAGCCCATTGTTAGTCACACTTTGGGTTGTGAGTGACTTTTTACTTATTTGTATTTTTCACTGCAGTAAGAGGTCTCTAGTTTTTCGTCTCTGGTTTCCCAAAATCTAATAAGTAACTGTTACACAGAACACATTGATTTGTATTTATTGTTTGTAGACATCATTTATTAGTTACATGAGCAAATTAAGAAAAAATAAACAGCAACAAATGAATGAATGCATATATATATTTTCTTACCAGAAGGTTTTAATCAGGAGACGATATACTTAGAACTGAGGTAGAATTTTCGTCCATTCTGTCCTGTAATTATTTTGCATATTCTGGAGACACAGGAAGAGGTTCATCTACTTATCCCTAAGCTGAATTACAGCAGGCAAAACTCTTTCACTTTTTGTGCATCAATTTCTTATTTGTATAATAACAAAATTGGGAAAACAATCTTCAATATGCTTACCAAGCTGTGACTCCAAATATTATGTAAATGCATTTACATAATAAAGTAATAAAATATACTTTATAAAGTATAAAAAAATATATTACAAAATAATATAAAGGAGAATGTTTTTAGTAGCAATTTGTACTGATGGTATGGGGTCAAGAGATATGTCATAGAGGGAGGGCTGAGGGTTTGAAGCCAAACTCCTAAGCCAGTGCCAGAAGAACCAAGGACAGGTACGGCTGTCATCATTTAGACCTCACCCTGCAGAGCCACACCCTAGGCTTGGCCAATCTACTCCCAGGAGCAGGGAGGGCAAGAGCCAGGGCTGGGCATAAAAGTCAGAGCAGAGCCATCTATTGCTTACACTTGCTTCTGACACAACTGTGTTCACTAGCAAACTCAAACAGACACCATGGTGCATCTGACTGCTGAAGAGAAATCTGCCGTTACCACCCTGTGGGGCAAGGTGAACGTGGACGAAGTTGGTGGTGAGGCCCTGGGCAGGTTGGTATCAAGATTACAAGGCAGGCTTAAGGAGGAGAATGGAAGCTGGGCATGTGGAGACAGAGAAGTCTCTTGGGGTTCTGAAAGGCACTGACTTCCTCTGCCTCTTGGGCTATTTTTCTACCCTTAGGCTGCTGGTGGTTTACCCTTGGACCCAGAGGTTCTTTGACTCCTTTGGGGATCTGTCCACTCCTGATGCTGTTATGAACAACCCTAAGGTGAAGGCTCATGGTAAGAAGGT